GAGAGTAACAAAAATAAAAAGAATAAGGGGAGATAAGGACGATAGATGCTTCATAGAAAAGAAGAAGCAAACCACACTAGAGCACCCGCCAACCACCCACTATTTTAATTTACCCTTACAAATGAATTTTAACCCAGCTGCAAAATGATATAAAACCTAAATAATAATTATATCTATCCTGCCCGATGTCCTACTTCCACAACCCCATGACGAGCAAGGGGCAACAAATACACAGCAAGTCTTCAAAAAAAGACTGCTTTTGATGAATGGAAGGGGGACAACGTGAAAAATCAATTCCACAATTAATTAAAGTAAGAAATCGGCAAACACAACTGGTGCAAAAAGGAACCCCATCTTTTACTGGTCCAAAAAGGACTTTGTTGTTACTGGTCCAAAAAGGACTTTGTTGTCACTGGTCCAAAAGAAATTCTTCTCCCATTGTGTGGTATGGAAGTCACGCACTTCGCCATCCTACACAGAAGACCTGAGGTCAATTACCATATTATCGGAAGAATTTTTAATCAAGTAGGTCTATCTTTTCTAGTTTTAGTAAGAGTTTTACGGCACTTGCAACACAATACGATCATATAAGCGCCAAATATTAGAGGTGTTACCAGAGAGTATCAAACATAAAAAAGAAAGAAGGGAGAAGGAGACTTTTTATAGGAAAGAAGGAGCAAACCACATCAGAGCACCCGCCAACCACCCACATAGCATCTTGGCTGAGAAGTGGAATTGTATTCCTCTCAACCTAGGTTGGCTCTGACAAAAAAAGCCGAGGTCATGGCCCACTCCTTAACGATCTAATTTGTGTCGACAGGAGATGGAGAGTAAAAACGCCTACATTTTCACCTGGTAATCCTGGAACAAACAAACAACAATCCAACGAAACAAAACATAAAAAAACAACAACAAAAAACGCTAGAAAACACAACACGAATTGCTCTTCAGTATATTCAACAAATATAATTTGTCGTAGAGAATGATACTTGAGTGCTTCGATTGCACCGTGGTACAGACATCAGGGGGGGGGGGGGGGGGG